GAAACATAAATAGTTCCAAATAATGTTTACACTTAAGACACAGTTTCAGGAAAAGAGAATATATGTAGCTCAAGGCTAGATGGAGAGTCGTTCATGAGTTTGGCTGGTTGTTTGCAGATGTTTCATATAGACAAGTAGGTAACATCATCAGTGCCAATAACTATTGGTTTGTCTCCCTGTTAGCTTGCCATTCCAGTTTTGGTGGGGGGTGAATTAATGATGTTACCTAGTCCAATACTTAAATGCCTGCAAACAGCCAAACTTAGACAGCACCAGGGACTCCACAAGACACTCTTCACTTGTTTCTGTAAATTTTTCCTTAGCTATCAATTTCTTGCTGGCAACAACTTGGTTTTTATTTTTTTCCATAGCATATCTATTATCTAAAGGATTTCATAAATAAATTTAATCAGCAAATCAAAGCTGAATTCTTTCTAATCAATTTCACAATGCCTGCATTTGATTTTCATTTTATGTAAGTAGCAAATATCATACAGCAAAATCTTAAAAGTAAGATTACTGTTCCAACTTTGACATATATTGTATTTACCAGATGGCAAAAAATTACTTGCTATATGTATCTGTCTTAAAAACAGCTTGTGAAAAACTAGTTTTAGAGAAAAATTAATTAAGAAAATGAATAGGAGTATGCATTGTGAATTTCAAAACATAGATAGATAATATATTGGTGGAACGTAGCACATGTAGAAAGATACGGCAAATCAACTTCTCACAGTAAAAAGATGAAAAGTATGGCTTTCCCAAATGAGGAAATAGATTCTAATTAATAATTCTAATTCTAAATTCTAATTAATTCACAAATTATTTGAAATTAATGGTGAATGGTAATGCACTATTATTTAAATAAAGAATACTTTATAACTTATAGGCAGTTAAGATCTCCAAAAATATTTCCAAGACATCTCTTAACATTGGTTACTAGAAAAGGTTGACTTTAATTTGCTCTTGCTTTTGTGTTCCAGTTATGCAGTCTTGAAAGATGGGTTTTGAAAAAAAAATACTGGTAATACTAAGGGAGTAGGCTAGAGTAATTATAGGCTGCAATATAAGTTAGGCAGTAGAAACAATTAAAGAATACACTAGCCACATAAAACTTCCCCTATTTATTTTTAGGGTGGACTCCTTGAAATCATCAGATCTAGACTCGGTCACAAATTTTAAGGAACAATTATTGCATACAATATTATTTATCTCCTTATGAATCCCACATTACAACTTCAAACTGTTTTCATAGTGTTGTAATATCTATTTATGGGTAATTGTATATAAATAATCAGTAAGACTGCATAAAACACAATTAAGGAACAGCATAATTTATTTGTGGTCAACACCAATGGCAAGCCTTCTTGCAAGCATGCCTTGCAAGAGCAATCAACTAGAAACATTTATTTTCACTATTTAGAAACATAATACAGGTAGTCCTTGTTTTGCAATCACAATTGGGATTGGCAACTCAGTTGCTAAGTGAGACTGTTGCTAAGAGGAAGATTACATGACCATAAATGACCATAATTTTCCCATTCACCCACTCTTTAGAATGTTTGCCCCAGTGGTACTGGGATATCTGGCTGAAAACTGACGAAAACAATCAATTTCACACCTTCAGCTTTTGTTTGACTTCCACCCACTCTCCATCTTTGAAATGCTCACCTTGCTGTTGGGATAATTAACAAGACAGAACTAATGTTTGCATATACATTCATTGGACAAGATATATTACAAGAGAGATATCTATAGGGTTTAGCTTATAGTTATATTTAAATTGTCTTCCAAGTAGGAATTATTAAAGATAAAAATTTAATAAAAACATGAAACTAAAAATACATTGGGATAGTAAGAAAACAAGTAACAGTTGGTTTGCTTATTTAATGTGAAAACCTTTAAAAAGAATACTATCAATTATCTACAAACTTTCAAATGTATTTGTAGGCTAGGAGGAAAGCACCATGGTATTTATTTACAACAATTATATAATACCCCAATCAGATTGATTCTTGGAGATATACAAGAAAACCAACAAACAAAATATTACAAAGCAATTAAAAACCACACTAATCAGTAATTACATAATATTGAAAACAGATATAGAAAAACATAAAATCTAAAGATCTATTAAAACAACTTGATTTTAAGTGCCTTCTTGAATGAGAGGGAGGTAAGAATCAATTGTACATTCAGGTTCCACAAAAGGGCAGATTTGTATATGGGGGAGGGAGAGAACTAAGATAAGTATGATTGTATCTGAATGATCAGAAAGAACTGATTAGGAACCAGAAAAGAAGAAATGAATACTCTGCTTTTAAATAAACTACAGATAACTGGACAGTTAAATAGCTGTCAGCAGTTATATAATTGAATAAATAAACAAATTCTGCACAAGTCAGAAACATATTTCTATTTCATTATGTATGATTTTAATTTGCATAAATTAGTGCTCTCTTTGCTATAGACAAGAAAATGGCCGGAGTCCATTTGAGATCTATCAACCTCATAGATCTTTAAGAATTCAAAAGCTGCACTATTATACTTCAACTATCTTTTAATTTTAAAAATCATATACATTGTGTCAATAAAAAATTGTATTTAGCCCAATGAGACAATAGCTGAAGTAGTGGGAAAAGGATAAACCAATTCCATATAGCCCAAATCATAAGAAAACAAATAATATGATGAAACTTCTATTCCCCTTTTCTCAATATACAACCTCAGAAACAATCAATCTCCTGAGACACTTAGCCTTGTAATATTTAGAAGAGTCAAAGAGGCCCTTTAAGTATTAGATATACATAAAAGCAATCCAAAGACATAATACTTAAACTCTACAAAGTGAGTACTAATGGATTTCTTCCACAACTATGGTTAAGTACCAGAAAAATCACACATAATTTTCTCAAAACTTTGTTAAATCCTTCTCTTCACACATTATACCATTTTAAGGAGGGAAATGAGAGAGAAGCTAGCTCAAAGGCAGACCAAAAGTCCCTTCCCTGTTTTACTATGGCCGGTATCACAAGAATATGAGGCTTGTTCCACAATAAAGTCTTGCTAATAGGCATTTCAATCAACTTTGAAGTTGTACGTTTAAAACTTTCAGCCATATATGGACTTTAGAAGCTATCTCTACCTTTGAAGACCTCTTTATAGCTATAATGAGGGGTTTAAATGAGCCCTGCCTGGGAACAATTAATAAACCAGGATATACATTTTAAATGTCATTTGTTTTGAATTCAAAATGTGTATTTTGAATTCAAAGCAAATTCAAAATATGTTCAAATTAAAATACCCTGTTTTAAATTTTACACCTGAAACAATAGTTTCCCACTCAAAATAATATGCTGTAAGTTCAAAACAATCTGAATTATAAACATTTCATACATTTATATAGGAATTCTATGCAAAAGCATCAAAGCAAATATCAGAGAGATCTGAAAGATCTGACTGGATATTATTTAAACTGCTTTTCTGGGACACAGAGATGGTATTCAAAATGTTTACCCACTATCTTACATTATGAATAATGTGTATTTTGGTCAAAGCTACTGTTTAGCTTCTTTATTAATAGAGTTACAGAGCAGGAAAAGTAACAGTTTAAAAAAAAGCTTCTACAGCAGAGTATTTGTTTGCTTATCATTTGCTTGTCAGGAAAGCTTTCCATTACCTAGTGCCCATTTTTACTACCCAATTAAATTAGATTAATTGCCAAACCATAGCCTCAAGAAACCTTGGCAATGAACTCATGGTTAGCATCAAGATAAATGGCAGAAACTCAAAACAAAAGTAAAACTTTCATGTAAACTGAGCTTTCCATCACCAAACAAAAATCACACTTCCCCAAAATCAAAGTGAGAAAAAACCCAATAGTTTTACTGAACAGGCATGTGACTGCTTCATTTCAACTCCAGTCTCAAACGGAAGTAAAGTGAATTTATATAGCTGTTATATTATACCTTGATGACCACCTCCATAAACACTGGCAATGAAAAGGCCCTAAAAACAGCACATCATTTCCTTGAGCTCCATATGACAGCAAGCTCTGAGGACAAAAGAAGTGGTCCTGGCAAGCCATGTGTCTGCACTCCCAGAGAGAGTGAAATGGTAAAGAACAGGGTTAGCAGAGCTTCACAAGGAGTCATTACAACTGCCCCAGAGATTCATCTACACAGTTTTTACTCCAGCCCAGAACATACACCAGGTTTGATTTTACAGTCTTTTCCTTGTCCTCTTTTACCTTACTTGACACTCTTCTATGTGTACTGTGGTCAGAAATTCTGAAATGAGTGTGTGGATGGAACAGACAGAGACAGAGAGTGCTGGGTGGGGAACAAAGAGACCAAGCTCTCTCTCTCTGGCCTGCCCTCACCATATCTAGAGATCGGCCTAAACAAAAGCAACGAAAGCAACGAACAGGAGGCTGTAAAAAGAAAAGTCTCTCTCTGTTTGTGTCACGCATACACAGAAACAGGAAACGTGCAACTGAGGCATGAGAAGATGCTGACGAGAAACATTTCGCCTAGAGGAAAGGGAAGAATTAACACCAGAATTAAACGGATGGCTGTCCAGATTATCCTAACCATCCCCTGAATCCACGAGGCGACAGCAGTACTGTTATTTGGGGCTCTGGCTGGCTGCACGCACTGTTGCCTGGAGATGAACCGAGGAAAAGAGAGCAGAGGAAGGAGGAGGGAGAAGTCTTCCGTAGCCCTCCCCACACGGCTCCTGCACTGACACCTGTGACAGAGGGAGAAGCCGACAGCAAGAAACCGAGCTGTGGATTAAAGTGCCCGGCGGCAGCGGCAGCGACAGCGGCGGCGGCGCTTCCTTAGCCACCGGGCTGCCGGGCTCCGCCCCCACAAAGGGGAACAGCAGCAACCGCAGGGAACCCCCGGCTGACTGGGAAGGGGGACTCGTCTCCTGTCTCCCACACTCCCCCCGCCCCCGCCCCCCCCCCCCCCCCAGCCTCTGCCTCCTCGCTCTGTTACCGTTGTGAGTAGTGGCCTCATCTGCTCCCCGGCCCGCTCCTCCTCCATGGCGTGCCCTAGACGGACAGCGCTGGGAGTCGAGGTCTGCGCTCGCTGCCTGACTGCGTAGGGCGAGAGAGAGGGGGGGGGGGGTAAAAAAAGGAAACGTCGCGGCTCCGGCAACAACGAGGCTTTGACTTGGACGGCTACTTCTGCTCTTACTACAGCCTAGCCGGCTCGCGCCTAGCCATGCCCCTCGGCCGCCCGATTGGCAGCAGGCCCAACCAATCGCCGCGAGAATGCGGCTCCTCCTCTAAGCGGAGAAGAGGCGCTGAGAGAAGAGGCGGGAGGGTAAAGAAGGGACTTTCGGAGGGTAAAGGGGATTAAAACGCGACCTTTCTCCGCGCTCAAGGGGAGCCGCTTCAGGTGACCGGGCTTTCTCTCCTGCTTAGAAATAGAAGCTCCACTGACAGGGATTTTTTTTTGTCTCGGAGTTAAACTAAAAGAGAGCTTTCAGGGTGCAGTCGCTTTCTTTTGGAGATAGGTCCCTATTTGTGGGACTGCTGCTTCCACGACATTCTGCCCTAAAAGTTCTCGGACCCCCATTTTGCTCCAACTATGGGGTAGGTTGGTCCCTCCAAGTTTCCAAGAGAGCCAGACCATTGAATAAAACATGACTAAACTGACCATAATTTACTCATTGAAAATAACAAAAACTTTTGCATCGTTAGCTGAGATCATTGCAATCTGGATGCATTTTCGGTCCAGTTCAGATTAGTAATGATAGGATCTCTTAGTTTTAGTGTGGAATCCGGCACAGAATGTGGAGCCAGAGAGACTGCTCCAAAGTCACCAAGTGAGGTCGTTTGGGGAGGGTTGGGGTGGGCAGAGAGATGCTACAGATTTCACTTCCTGGATCAAAACAGAGGGAAACTTTTTCCCCTATCAACTGTGGTTGGAAAATGATGGAAACGGTCACAAAAAGGTATTTTGAGATTCTCAGCTTTTTTGGGGGGGGGACGATAGTAAATGTTGGGCTTAATCAGATTCACTGATAATACTTTTGGGCTATAAAAATTGTTTGCTGAATATAATTGTAGATAAGGTGTCTCTGACTGTTCTCTTAAAACAGAGCTCTTATAAAATTGAACATTATGTAATATGCTAACTTTGAACTGGAGGAATCAGCAGATGTATGACACTTTAGTCACTACACTGATATTTATCAAGATATTTAGTATATTCCACTGCTGGTTGACATTTATATCCAAAGAAACATGCAAAGAATTTGTAGCTTTCCATTAAAATGAAGCCTTCGGTGAACATAATATGGCCAGGAGCAAATATATCTTTGAATATCTATTAGTTCCACTCATAAATTAGTTTGGTTAACAAATAAGATGTAAACTAGTTTAACATGGTTTCTTCCCTTGCAAATAAAACCTTACCTTTGTTTGATTAGCTGTATCTCCTCATAAACACAGTCAATGGGAGCATGCAACTTTATGGTTTAGTGAGACATATTTGGATACTTTTAAGTAAACAATATGAGCCAATTTGCTGTAGTGATTAAGGCATCAGACTAGAAACCCCTTGAACACCTTTGAACAAAAGAAAAAAAAGTAAACAATATTTCAGTAAGCAATTTAAAGTCTGTTCCTTTATAATGAACCAAATTCATAAGAGCAATTACTCTGTCTGAAAATATCACTTCAGATATGACCAGAATCTTCTTCAGACCTTTTTATTGCATCTTACAAATAAAAATAAAAAATATGACCCTGTATACAATACATATTCTTCAATAAGATATACTCTATCCCATATTCATTCTTTTCCTTTTTCAAGTATTAATTTGTATCAATTTCAGCCTTTCTTCTGGGGACAGAAATTAAAGTGTAACTGCCCAAAATGTTTTTTTTAGATGTGGTACACAATATATAGGAAATATGTATCATGTATGTATTATTTTCTACATAGGAAATAAATTATACAACATTGTGTTATTTCATAAATATTGTGAAAAAATGTGGTTGCAAAATGCAACCAGTAAACAGGTGGAGGCACTCACCGCATTCTGGACCAGTTGTAGTCTCCGAACACTTTTCAGGGGCAGCCCCATGTAGAGCGCGTTACAGTAGTCAAGTCTTGAGGTGACAAGGGCATGAGTGACCATTCGAAGTGCCTCCCAGTCCAGGTAGGGCCGCAACTGGTGCATCAGGCGAACCTGGGCAAAAGCCCCCCTGGTCACAGACGACAGATGGTATTCTAACGTCAGCTGTGGGTCCAGGAGGACACCCAAATTGCGGGCCCTCTCTGAGGGGTGTATAATTTCACCCCTAGGTTAAGAGATGGAATGTCTGGACTATCCTTGGGAGGCCACATCAATAGCCACTCGGTCTTGTCTGGATTGAGTGCAAGCTTGTTCGCTCCCATCCAGACCCTGACAGCCTCCAGGCACATCACTTCCACTGCTTCGCTGAGTTGGCACGGGGCGGACAGATACAATTGAGTATCGTCCGCATATTGATGATATTTGATCCTGTGCCGGCATATGATCTCACCCAGCGGCTTCATGTAGATATTAAATAGGAGGGGGGACAGGACCGAACCCTGTGGCACCCCATATTTGAGGGGCCTAGGGGTCGACCTCTGTCCTCCAACCAACTGCGACCTGGCCGAGAAGTAGGAGGAGAACCACCTTAAGATGGTGCCTCCCACTCCCACCTCCCATAACCATCACAGAAGGATACCATGGTCGATGGTATCGAAGGCTGCTGAGAGGTCAAGGAGCACTAGGATAGAGGAATGTCCTCTATCCCTGGCCCGCCAGAGATCATTTATCAGCGCGACCAAAGCAGTTTCTGTGCCATAACCAGGCCTGAAACCCAACTGAAAGGGATCCAGATAATCTGCTTCATCCAAGGTCCACCAGAGTTGAAAGGCCACCACCTTCTCAACCTACGAACGGGAGTTGGAGACTGGGCAATAGTTGTTTAAAATGGCTGGATCCAGGGATGGTTTCTTAAGGAGGGGTCTCACAACCGCATCCTTTAGAGGGTGCGGGAAGGATCCCTCCAGAAGAGAGGTGTTAACAATCCTCTGGAGCCAGCCACGTGTCACCTCCCTGTTGGTCGAGACCAGCCAGGAGGGTCACGGGTTCAGTAAACAGGTGGAGGCACTCACCGCACCCATGGCCTTGTCCACTTCCTCAGGAGCGACAAGTTGAAACTCGCTCCATAAAATCTGATCAGGACCTTCCCCCGGCGCCTCAGCTGGTACCGTCCAAGTGGAGTCCAGGTCCGTCCGGATCCGAGCGATTTTATCCGACAGAAACTGAACAAATTCCTCAGCTCTACCCTGTAAGGGTTTGTCCGCATCCCTCCCTTTCAAGAGGGAGCGGGCTATCCTAAACAGGGCGGCTGGGCGAGATTCTGCGGATGCAATAAGAGCAGAAAAATGTGCACCTTTTGCCGCCCGTATCGCCACTAGATAAGTCCTAATAAAGGCTCTTAATTGTGTTCGGTTGGATTCGGAGTTACTAGCCCTCCAGCGTCACTCTAGGCTTCTCTTTTGGTGCTTCATCTCCCGGAGTTCCTTGGTGAACCAAGGAGCCCTCCTGACCCCAGTGCCGCGGAGAGGCTGCAAAGGCGCAATCTGGTTTAGAGCCTCCGCCGTTGCTATATTCCAAGCAGCGACCAAGGACTCTGCTGGACTGTGGGCCAGAGAGTCAGTTATCTCACCAAATGCCGTCTGAAATCCCATAGGGTCCATCAGGCGCCTGGGGCGGAACCACCTAATCGGTTCCCCCTCCCTACAGTGGGGGATTGGTTTCCAAAAGTCGAGCCTCAGTAGGAAATGATCTGACCATGACAAGGCAAGATCTTAATGCCCTTCAAATCTAGATCACATCTCCACTGTTCCGAGAGAAACACGAGGTCGAGCGTGTGCCCCGCTGTATGAGTTGGACCCTGAATTACCTGGGTCAAGTCCATGGCTGTCATGGAAGCCATGAACTCCTGTGCTCCATCAGAGCGTTCACCGAGCAACGGCAGGTTGAAATCCCCCAGCACTATAAGCCTGGGGAACTCAACCGCCAGCTCGGCTACTGACCCGAGGAGCACAGGCAGGGCTGTTGTAATGCTGTTGGAAGGTAGGTATGTTAGAAACAAATCCATTTGACCCCCAAGGTCCAACTTCACCAGAAGGGACTCACACCCGACAATCTCCGGAGCAGGGATCCTACGAGGAGCTAGGGACTCTCGGATGATGACTGCCATTCCCCCACCCCTTTACTGGTGTCGCAGCTGATGCAGCACCTGAAACCCTTCTGGGCACATTTCAGTGAGTTCCTTTTGGCCCAGCCAGGTCTCAGTAATACATGCCAGGTCTGCCCCCTCATCTAATATTAGGTCCTGGATGAGGGGAGCTTTGTGAACCACAAACCTGGCATTTAGCAACAGCAGCCTGAGACCAGGGCCCTGACAACTCTTGCCATCTGGTCCTGGAGTGGAGCTAACAGGGCCGGAAGGAGGGATCGCTGTGACGTAGCGAACCCTCCTTCCCCGGTAATGGCTAGCCCTATAACTCCCGTCAAACCTGCCTCTCCCAACTATGACCGGGATGCACCGGCCCATCCCCGCACCCGTAGACCCCACTTCCCCTCCCGTAGCCTCCGTTCTCCCCGGCAGGCCATTTATATCATTCATTCTGGGACGAGAGGTAGGCCTGGGCCCCCTACCACTTCTGCTTATGCACTCAGTGGAGGAGGCACCAGGCTGCACTCTCAGTCCTCTCAATCACACACAGTCACTCTCTCATGCAATCCCCACTATAGTCAGTTTAAAAAGAGTACAAAGATACAATAAGTAATATAAATTAGTTAAAAATTAAGTGGGTTCATGCGTCAACAGCCATACCATACACACTCCATCCATAAAATTGTGCAGGTCTTAAAGTCCAGTCAAGTGGATTTGGAGATATGGAGGTGAGGATCAATAATAGTGAAGGAGGGAGAGCTCCTCCGCTTCTCTCCCTTCCTATAAGTCCGGAAAAAAGCCAAAGAGGGCCAAGGGCCCAGAGTCGATAATGGCTGGAATAGCTACAGATGGATGGGGGGCATAGCCGCCAGTTGAAGACAGGAGGCAAGTTCAT